TTAGCCAACTGCTAACTCGTGTACAAAATTACGATTAAGATGGGAGTTTAGACTGTGCATCAGCCTCGAGAGGGATACGAAGTTAATAGAAAAGAAATGTAAACTACAGACAACGTGGCCAGTCAGAGATCATGGACCACCCCAGCAGCCATCGCCATTTTTGCACTAGCGTTCATGACTCACGAGCTACATCGATACTCGCGACCACCACGGTTCAGTTACTCCTCCCACCAGTTTATTTTCCTTACACCGCCACCGGAAGAGAAATTACGAGGCGCCGAGCTTTAAAATCCGAAAGAAACGCTTTCGACAAACGAGAGCTTCCTCGGGTCGTAGCGAAAGGCGCGAGAAGGGTAGGGGTTGAACACGAAGCAGCCCTTCTTTAACCGGTACCCTCGATGCTGCAAGAATCTTGGCAATACCTCTTCGCCTAATCTAGCCTATATTTTTCTCTGTTTCACCTGGAGCCCCGGCTATCGGCCGTTCTTTTTCGCTCCTCTCCATGGCAACTATCCACCCGGCTGAAACTACGTCTAGACAGAGGCGTTTGAGTTCCCTCTGTATCGCGTAGACGCTCCAGCGCGCTGAATGCAGGCGGAATTTAGCGGAAACGCGTGCACGAGAGGCGTGCAGATGAAAACAGGTTGGCCAGCCGGAGCAATATCGGTTGCATTAAAAGCTGATCCGACACTTTGCGCTGCTCAAATTCAATTCCCCGGGTAAAATGTCGCGTTAGCCTCATTTCTGTATCGGGGGTTTCTTTGAAGAGACTTTCGAATCACAATTGCGTCCGTGCTTGAACGCGACACAGGCCATATAAAAGGAATAATCCTATTTCTGTTTAACGTTTTGGCACACTCTTTCATGCCGATTGGAAATTCGATTCGGCATCTTGTAACGTTGAAACCTAAACATCAGCAGGCTTACACCCGCGAGTTTCTAGACCAGCCGCGTCTCTTGCATCTCCGGGGCCATAAATAAGAGCGGAGTCGCGGCCGTTTAATCGCCACGAGATACGAGGCACGGGTACAACCGCGAGGATAGTATACTCGGAGAGCTGACAAGACAGCCCGGAGGATAGCGCGTTACATCCACTTACAATTTGTCGCGGTGCTCGATTACCCTCCTCCTCGTGGAGGCTCGCCGGAGGATCCGTCCTCTGGAACTGGCCGCCACCAGTCCGGGTTCGCGTGGCAGTTTCGAACAACGCCGGCGAATTATCGCGAATTGGCTGGGACGGCTGCGACGACGGGACACCGAGTCGAGCAGGAAATAGCGTACATCCACGGAGAGAAAGAGGAGCCGAGAGGGAACCAGGCGCGTCGTGTATCGCGGCAATGGAACGAGGACGAGGGAACGCGGAGATGGGAGAACACGGCTCTGATTAGCATACAAACTACGCGCGGCCGTGTTGGTTCTCCGCGTTTGCTCGGGACGCGAACCAGCGTATACACTCGTACGGGGTGTCCGAGATCGTGATCGAGGGGACGCTGCGACTTCGAATCGAACTATCGACTTTTAGAGGAATTTTTGAAACCAAGAAGCAGCTGCAAACTACTTTCAGTATCTAGATTTACGGTACTCTTTGTAAAATGATTCAATTATTGTCTCTACCTTCGTATGTCTTCGAACCTAGTGAAACAGTAAACCATACTGACAAGTTAGTACCTCAATTAATCTTCAAACTCTGGCTAACAGTATCCACCGAAAGATCAAACACGAAAGGGTCAGCAACACGTACACACGGGTTTCAAAAGTATCCCGAGAAGGCTATCCCAGTCCTGGAACGATCGTGGCGAGATTCGAGGAGTCGATAATGTCCCAAGACACCCGTTAGAGCGAGTGGTACGCGTGTTCTCTCGCGTCAAGATATTCGAGATGGTGGAAGACGACAGGACACGCCGTTTACCACCAGGGAGAACGAGCGAGAACCCGCGGTGACGAACGAGGAGGAGAGAGTGCCACCCACAAAGCCCGAGGAACTCGAAGCGGGGAGTCGGGACGTCACGGAGCTGTAACACTTGAGATACCGCGCTCGTGGGCCACGATAATGGCCGGCCATTACGATAAACTGAAAAACCAGCGTACAAACGACGCGATTGTACAAACAGACGGAGCTTTTGAGCGACGCTCCTCCTTTGGATATCAATTATTCGACCGATCGTGTAGAACACGGGGGGAATCATTTACGAATGGATTTCCCACGAGGCTGGGCTTCAGGCGCGATCAATTTTAAGGGGATGTATTAGGTCATCCCTTAAGTTCGTGCTGCAAAATGTGTCGTTATTTAATAAAAAATAAAAAAAATTACAAAGATTTTATAACGACGATGTAATGACTGTATCGCAAAGGTTTTCAAGAGGAATCACCGATCTATAAACAAGGTAGCACACGAGTTCCCCAACCCTGCTGCAAGGAAACCCACTCGACAAGCATCGTTTCACCGAGAACGACGACCATCACCGGTTCCAGTTCAGGAAATGATTGGTAACCGACAAGGTGTTCCTCGTCGAGAATTCTCGGTTCCCTACGGAAAAGAGACGATAGAAATAGCGAGGCGTGGGTACAAGAGCCGGCGACGAGATATCGCCAAGCATGAGCGATAATGACCGCCTATTACGATAACCGCGCGAAAAAGGGGCCAGACAGGGCCGGCATTGTCGCCGTGAGTGGACCTTCGAGAGTTTCGCCCCGATAAAAATACGACATGCTCGTGGTTCCTGAATGCGGGCCTCTGTGCGATCCAAAATCGTCTTGGCCCGCTGCCGATCCCCCGGCCAGAGTTCATCGATCGTTGCTCGTCGCGTCTTTTTGCAGGCGGACACGGCTTTGCACGTGAAATTACTTGTCGCTGTCTCTCGCCAGACGGCCCGGAAACAAAAATTAACGACGGATAATCGAGGGAACGTGGCGTCTAGCACGAATGTGCCTCCTTTTCGCGTACCTGTCCTTTTCTGTCTCGTCAGGATTTATTTCCTCCGTACTGTTGCAGAGATGAGAAGCTGGCTAACAGGTCTGGTCGGAATCAAGGAGATTATACCGTTATCAATCAGACCGACGAACCTCGTTTCGCCTGGAAGACAAGCATCCTCCGGTATGGAAATCGTGGGACTTAATTAAACAGCGATGCCTGTTTATCAAGGCAGATTTGGACTATTGGTTCCTCCGTTTGTATACAACGTCTAAGAATAAGTTGAACATCGACATTTTGTACCTTCCTGAACGAATTTCTCTCTTTCTCCTAATCGCGAGGAATTTTGTGTGCTTCTGGAGGAACCAACGAATGGTCAAATCAGGATTAAATGAACACTAGTAATGTTTTTAACCAAATTAATTAAAGAGCCCCCTCCCTGCATCAAGCTCGTAGCAAATATTGATCGCAACAGAGGCATACCAGCCATTAATGAATTACATTCGAACGCACGCAGTGTCTGCAAACCGGAGGAAAACAATGTACAAAGTAGAATTTGCACGTCGAAGCGCAGAGACAACGTCGAGCCAGTCCGAACGCCAGTTTAATCTCGAATTGCTAATCAAAACTTCCTCCAAAAGGAAGAGGCGGGCGAGGAAACGTCGAGCGCGCGTCCCGTGCAGTTTTTTTCCGAGGAAGGGTCGAATGGAAATTATTTCCAGAATGGAAAAGTTACTTTCCTATTTGACGCCGTGAAAAGAAGCTCGCAGGGAGGAGCCCCGGCCCTTGGAACGTTTCTTTTCTCCATTGTATTTCATTTTTTATTGCGACGTCGGGCATAAAGCAGCGCGAGACAATGCCCGAACGGAGCGAGCCGGAGGCCGCGTAAATCTTCGGTCCGCGTACCGCGGTGGATCCATATTTCTTCCACGTACGAGACTCGATCTCGCGTAGATCCACGGCCAACTTGCTTACGCGAGCACAGAAGCCGAGAGAAAGAGAGAGGATTGGTGCAGCCACCGTGTCGGAGATTATCAGCGCGACGTTGTTCGGTAGTTGCCGGCGCGTAACACCGTCTCGACGCACGCCCACTTCTTCGATGGCCTATTTTTGGCTAATTTAGGACCTAACGAACGACCCACTCCCGTCCTCGACTCCCATCGTTGTTACTAAAAGACAGTCGACGCATTCTTGCCTCGAATCCGTGGGGAAATTTATGAGAGGAAATAGTGGAGAAGTGGACGGTCAGGGGATGTAAATTGTCACTGGCGAGTGTACAGCTTCGCTGGGGTATTTAACGAATGTGAATTGCGGGGCTATTTGTTTGCTGGCGAGGGAGTACCTTTGCTAATCGTCGTTGGAGCTTAAAGCTGCGAGCTTAGAGCTTCGAGAGCTGACAGAGAGATGACTTATCAGTGAATTCTTTGAAAGTAATGTCAACTCTCACATTTACTATTCATTCCACTATAGACTATGAACGAAATCGCCACCGTCACTGACACGCCAAGTATAGGCTCTAGCTTCCTGTTCTATTCCCGACTAATTTACCGCTCTCGGAATGACAATGATGCCCGCTTCCTGTCCCTCCATCTAGAATTCTTTCTCCCCATTCGCGACACCCATCGAAGCGATATATTTCAAGCTTTCCAAGACAGATGGAGTCGATGACGAACGATCGGGGACCGAGGTAAACCTCAGGCTCGTAAAAGACGCAAACAGTGTCCGTGTCAGGCCACAGCGAGATGCCCTATTTTTGGCTAATTTAGTGGCCACTAGAATGCCAATGGCGGGTCTTCCGCGCGTTTATCCAGCCGATTCTATTGGCCTTTTTCTTCCTCCTCCTTCGAGGGACCCTCACCTCGTGGATGGCCACTCGAACCCTTGAAATACGGTTACAACCGGAGCGACCTCTGGCCCCCAACACCTTACGATGTTCGACCGGAATGAAACTTCCTCTTTATTGCTCGGGAAGGGAACACCTCGGGGACCCTGAATGATTTTACGCGCCCGACGTCCGCCTACTCTCGTCATGCGTCCAAGTTCTACTGTTCCTGTTCCGTCGTCACGAGAAAATCAAGGTTATACTCACTTCCAGAAGACGACGGAGACGATCGCTGCCATCAGGAGCAGCACCACCGCGCAGGTGATGATCAAGGCGGTGCTCTGCAACGATGGATTCGTATGGTACGACGCATCGATCATCTGAAAAGAACGTGACGTGTTAGCGATATGGGGATCGTATTAGAAAAATTGCTTGCTAAGAAAGATTGGCGAGTGACACATTTTTGAAAATCTTCCTGGCTTGCGATAATAATTTTCCTTTCCGCACCGTTCGCGACGCCTTTCGTCTATTTTTAAAAGCCCCGGAAGATATTCGAAGGGTCGCAAGTATCTTTCCCTTGAAGTTTGGAAATGTATCCAAGTCGTTTCCTTGTAAATTTACTTTTGAGAAGCATCCGAATTTCCGATAGAAATTCCGTTACATTTCGCGTGATCTGCGAACGCTTTCAACGGATGCTGGTAAGTGTTCCACGAATACAAATGAATAAGCGTCCCCGCAGCACGCGCGGAGTCGTGCACCGACTTTGAACGCCTCGCCAACAGGATTAATCGACGCAGCAGCGGCCCGTTATTATTACCGGTTTCTCGAGCCGTAGACAACAAATATAAATTGATAGACCTGTCTTTGATACGCGTCCATTTATAGCTGGAAGGGTCGAGCAATGTCGACCTCAATTTGATACTCGTAATTTCGTCAATTATTGTATTACGAGGCCACGAATAAGTTCTCCTAATCGACAAATAAATATAGAAATTCGTAAAGACAGAATATTCTATTAACCACACGAATAAACGTTCATTTCCTCGGAAACTACCCCTATCCTTTCGATTCTGCTCTTCACTTCGAATTCAATTTAACGGCACCAGACGCCGCGAATCACAATAACAGGCGGGATCGATAGAATATATCGTTTGCAGCGAAAGATCGCAGGAAAGACGCGAAGGAGCCGTTTCGAAATTCACGTCGGGCCTGCCCCCCCCCCCACTAACCCCCCCCCCCTCCCGACATCGTGTAGGATTCATCGGCGAGGAGGCCGTTGGAGAACGTCGCGACGCGTGCCTGGTGTGAAGACGAGAGCAGGGCGTCGGCTGGCGGCCGATTACGTGGCGCGCCTGCAAAAAGGGAAAGTGATTTTTGCCACCGGAGGATCTCCCCGGGAACGGTAGCGAAACTTCCTGGCGGGTTCCACGTCGTCTCCAGTCGGTGTTCGTGCCCATTGTCGCGAGCCCCGTGGATCGATCGGGCGCATTGTGAGCGCCAGGAGACCAGACTCGTTTCACCTGAAGGCGTGAGCCCGCGAGACGCGGCTGAAAAGGAGCGACGACGCGCTTTGGGATTGCCGATTTAATGCGTATCGATAAGCCCACCGCCCCCCCCCCCCCCCCGCAACCCCCTAGTCGACTATTATACTCGCTCGATGGGATATTCCGTCGGTTGGCGACGCGCCAAGGAAACCGTTCGATCACCAGACTGCGATCGCGAGTGCGCCAATGTTTCCTCGCAGGCCTTTCGTCGCCGCATCTCCTCTCCGCGTCGAATTGGGAATTTATGAGGAATAACCAGAATATTTACTTTAAATCCTGCACAGTGGATCCATTCCCCATACCTAGAGTTCCCGAGCGGAGTTTACTGGGCCAGACGGCTCGGCAAACTGGAACCCACTCGATTTGGAAGAAAAATAATACTCGACGATGGACAAATTTAACTAAGAAGAAACCCCGCAGTGGCGAAATGTTATGTTGTATTCATGACAGGGGTATTAATGGCACCGTTTCAGTTGTTATCGACGCGGAGTGCTAGTTACGGGTCAGTACTCTATTTTGATACAATTTTGGTGATGGATAATGCGAGGGAAACAATGCTATTAAGGTCGCACAATTACGACGCCAAGTAATAATAACGTTGTAAAACAGTGGTAATTGAAAATTAATGTACCGCTGGATCGGCGGACTGTGTGACCGTAAACATTTTAACAGGGTGGCATCGATCCTCTCGAAAGTTCAGACGTGTCGGAAGCAGAGGCAATATTTTAGGGCCCAATATAGAACCACGATATAGCTGTTCATTTGTCACTTTATCAACATTAGTCACTCGAACCCTCAATAATTACGCGCATCTAACCATGTAGATAGTGCTCTAGAACACATGTGCCAACGTTCGCTAAGGTTCGAGCACATGTGTCACCATAAAAAAATCGCCATAAGATTGCTTATCTTTCGCTGTCTATCTTTCACTTCTAATCCGAAACCATCCATATAAGGATTCTGTGCATCCCTGATTTCAGATTCGAACCAGTATCGAGGAACGATGTACACATTCATCGACAAGTCGTCTCTTCCTCCAGAGGAGGAGTACAGGAATACACGCGCTACGGAATATTGTGGTACGTGTTGTTTGGCGGCTGGCCAAGGGAAGCAGCATTTATCAAAGGTTTCGCCAGCGTTAGTGCGCGTTTCGATCGGTGGTTGTACACACGGGCACGTAAGTCCCTCTTCGCGGAGAATCATCCCCTTCCTAGGCGCACTCAGACGCGACTCGCCCTCCTCTCCCGCGATTCTCTTCCTCGTCGCGGTGGCTCATCGCTCATCATTACGGGGATATTAATGGCGTCGGCTAATGGATTCAGCCGAGAGCTCAGCATACAGAGAATTCCTTTCTCTCTGCAGACCCCCCTCCCTGCAACACCGTTGCATTTTTCCACTTCTGGGGAGGAATTTGGAAAATAAAGGCGACCGCGATGACGCATGGTCTGCCGTCTGATTGTGAGTTTGCTGCTGGGATTCCAATCATAAGTAGGTGGAAGTATTTCGTGTAGCTGCTAGTTGTCGTTGGAAAAGAAGGAGCTTTCTTTCGGTTTCTGATCGAACACGGGTCCGTGGTGCGTGGTCCACGCTTGGAAATTTTGATAAATAGAGCCACTTAGACGTTGCATGCTCGAAACCCACGTGTGTTCGTTCCAGCAGAATCGACATTAGTCGTCGATATTCGAAACGAACGTTCGTGACTCATTTCGGCACGAAATCGAAAACCGGATGAGATCACCAGATGAGACACCACCCTCGCCCCAACGGGCGATCTAGGCATCCCGGCGTTTCCCAAACCCCGACGATGCACAGTTCCATTCGGAATTTACGGTCGTTATTGCGTTAGCGGAGCCACGCGTTCGGCTATCCTCTAGGATTCCATTAATTGGATCCGGAGTCGGGTTACGGGTTTCTATTCCGCTGATGCTGAATCAGAGCAGTCGTAAGTACCGCGTATAGCGAGGCTGAAACGTATGGTTTCCCGTGTGGGGAATATCACCCCCCCCCCTCCCTCCCCACGATTCGATATCGGCTAAAGTTGCATCCCGTCGGTCGGTATAACAACGCGAAACAAGGGTATACGTCGGCTTTGTTCGCGGTTTGATTCCCCTCCCCCTTTTTCTCTGTTCTTAGAAGCCCCGTGATCATTCTTGTCCTTTTTACGCGCTAATTGGACACCTTTCCACCGAGCCTCGAGCTTTTCCATTCTTCTCCTTAACCCTTTCGATACTACTCGTTGTATTTCACCATGGACACCCGTTCAAATTTTCCTTTGACACGGAACCTCGGTCGAACACTGCTTGTTATCTCCGAGGCTATCGATCGCTTCTATTTTGTTTGTCGCGTCCACTTTGAAGAATAAGAGAAAATTGCGCTCAAACTGGAGGCTGGATATAAATATCCACTGCCTCGTCATTTAAAAAAAAAAAAAACGACATAAGACGTTGTCTATTTTTCCCTTCTGATCTGAAACTACCCATACAAGAATTCCGACCATCCCCGTCTTTGAAATTCTTCCCTCGGAATGAATCAACTTTCTGTCTCCTCTCTCCTTCGCTTCTCTGTAATTTCTCCTACACTGACAAATAATCAATGCCATCACATAGATATTTACTTGTGACACCCGCATCGAAAGGGTTAATCACCTTGGAATTCTCGCGAAGCAAAGAAAACCGCTTCCAACTGTAAGGTTTTTCCTCCTAGCATCCATCGGTCGCAAGATCGTGAGAAACGCGATGGTCGCGCACCTGTGCGTCGTTCACGACCAGTCTTTGGTCTGGGCCTTCTTGTCCCTGGTGCACAGCGGTCCACGAATCCCTCGTTTTCAGGGAAGATGGAGAACTCAGTTCACCGTCCTACCCGACGGTTCGCCGCAGATTCGCGGTTTTATCGAACAGGACGTCGCCTCCCTGCGGAGTTGCGTCGGTTTCCGCGGTGAAGGGAAGGGACACTTCGTCGTGGAAGAAAAGGCCCTGACCTCTTCCTCGGGCTCTCTTCTGGCGCCTTGCGAAATCAATATTGGAAACCACGATGGACAGTTGCTACAAATAGTAAGGACTCGTGGTAGAAGAACAATGGGACAGTTGGAATTTTAGCGCGAGGGGATGAAACATGAGGAGACTTAGACTCTTCGAGTTGCAGAATATTCGTGATAGGAGGTTGGAAGTTAGAAGGTAAGTTTCACTGGTGTTAGTTTAGAAGACTAAACCGATTTCGCTACAATAATCCATTTCATAAGACCAGTAGAGCTAAATTTCATTCAATAATAATACTACCGTCTTGCATCCACCCAACTAAAGCATTCTCGATCCCGAAACGACAGCCTCCGATTATTACTGATAAATAGTCCTGGAAACTGGTTGGTAAACTCGCTAATGTCTGGCTGTAATCTACTTGAACGCGTAAACTCTGCCAGAACTAGATCCTAGAGCAAAGGGGCTTCTCGCAGTCTATTCGTCGGTATCCGAGTTCACGGCTTCTAGTCCTGCACAAAAGCCATCCAGCAGTCGAGTCAGTTTTAAAGCAAAGCGAATGGAAAATTCTAGAATCGAACCGGATATAGTTCGAGGCTCCCACTGGCAAGGTTCGGGCAAACGTGGCTCGCCCTCAGCTTTTCCTGTACCAAACCACGCGCGGTAAAGAATACCATTGCGAGGCGAAACACGAGAATCCGGAATAATAAGCGAAGTTCCCCTCGGTTCGACTTCGGCGAACTTGGGAGAGCCACGAATAACGGGGCTGTCAGGAAAACCGAAATCGATCGATCCTGCGGAGTACAGTTTCTACAGTTTAAACAGGAATTAACCCTTTGTGCTCGAAAGGTGACTCTTGGTCGC